GATCAAATCAGAACTAAATGAATTTTTCAAACCTATAAAAAAATTGAATATATTTTCAATAAATAAGTTAGTTAATATAGCATCAGTTCTTTATCCAAGTTATTAGTTGAATAAAAAACTTGATCATGAATTTATAGAAGCAGAAAAAAATTATAAAAGTATTTGAATCATGATTAGTAACGCTCGAACCACAGCCACTGACCACTAACCATTGACTACTAACAAATACTAATTAAATAATTAAGAATACGAGATATTATAATCCCTACTTTATGCCTTCATAATTTTATGAACATTTCGACAATATGAAATTAACGAACCACGTAGAGATAACAAATCATTTTTGTATGCTCATGAAGTAATAACTTCTTAAAAAAAATATCTGAAAGATTCTATCTCCTTGTTTTGCTCGGATAGTTTAGTGACAAAAATTTTTTAAATTAATTGAGAATTGTCTTTTACTTTTAGAATACACGCAACAATGGGACAGCTTCTTAGATAATCAGTTGTTTTTTTTTTGGCTCTTATTGCAATTCTTGACATCTGACATGAAATATATTAAAAAAATAACCTTATTTAAGCAAAATGCATTAGATTAATATAATCATATGCAAATTTTAAAGCAAATAAATCAATTGCAAGAACGCTTTCCATTTATAATACGTATGAAGAAGTTAATAATAAAATAGTACGCTAGTAATACACAGTAAAATCAGCTAGTTTACTTATGCTAAATATCACTTCTGAACAATGCTTTATTGATTATTAAACATGAATAATCTAAACAAGATCGAGAGTAATCTTAATCCAATATGTCTTTCTTCTCAATATCATATCACAAAGTATTCACTAAAAAAATTCTCTGATCTTAAATATAACTAAAACAAACAAGTTTACCAACGAATTGTATTACAATTTACTACCGCTAAGAACACTAAATATCAAAACAAAGACTGCTATAATTTTATCTTCCACTGAATTTACTTCCATAGAATTCACGTTATTAGTCATACTCTCTTACAGTAACCACGCAAATTTAACTAGACATTGAAAAACCAGAAGTCCTAAAAATATGAATCAGTCTTTGTGAAAATTTTCACTACAAACAAATGCAATAATTGGTACTAATGCTTTCAAAAATAAACAATTCATGAAAGTTTAAATTTAGTATCTCTAATTATAGATTAAATTAAGCAAACAAGCATACTACTACAATGATTAAAAAACAAATAATAAAATTGAAACTAATGATTTAAATCAGTTATCCTTTTATCAACCAAAGTTCGAGCAAGCAGAATTCAAATTTACAGGGATCAAATTATATACTGCAACAAGGTGAATATTTTGTTATGCAGCTGCAGAACTGTTTACTTTTTTTATTAACTTGTCATTGCGATGCATCTTGCAGGGGAACTCGTTATCCTTAAAATCAACATTTTTAATATCATTAAAAAAAATCCTTCAAGCACATGATCTATTTGAGTTTTTCTAATTTATTTTACTATTTGCGACTAGAACAAAAATTAGAGTTCAGCACTTTTTTTCTAAACATTTTAAACGACAACTAAAAAGTGTCAAGAATAATGTGACAAAATTATTAATTGTAATTTAATGGACACATTTTTTCATTTTATTTCAATTGACACTTTTTCAATACGAAATTTAATCCTTCAATTTAAATGTTATTTCAAATATAATTAATTTCAAGATTTTTAATTTATATATAATGACAGAATGAAAAAGCAAGAGATAAAAGATTAAACATTATAACTAATTCTGAGTAAATAGCATACGCTTGCTTAAATATTTATTCACATGCTTTAATGTTGGTCATTTTGTGGCAATAAATAGATTACTTCTGAGGAATAATGATGAATAAACCAAGCGGATGCAAATGTCCACTTCATAGTCATCCAAAACCATACTGCCGTTATCCAGAGATTTTCATGCATTAAACCTTCATGAGTTAAAGTTTGGTGCCAAATTCCAGCCAAACAAAGGCACATAATAACACCTCCAACACACAGCGTACATAAAATACAATCTAAAAAATTTAAGTCAGAAATTATAATATTAATAAATTTTTGAATGAATCTAAATTTGAAATTACTTATGATAATTTGCTACATTTTGATGCACCAACATATGATACTTGATTAGTACTGTACCACATAAGTTTGCTTTAAACCCACAAATTACTATAAAAAATTAAAATCAAAAAACATAACTTACTAAAAGCAAAAATTGCATTAATTTTTCCATTGGATAACATCAAAATATTTCCTTTTATATGCTTTCGATGTATTTCTAAGAGTTGAGCAGCAGCTAAAGAACTTACAAAAGCCATTGTCGTAGCACTCCAATTCTAAACGATATTATAAAAGCTAAATTTATAAATTGTAGTCAAAAAATAATGTATACAAAAAATTTATCAAATAAAACTTTTGTATTATAAATAGATAAAAACTAATAATTTTATAAAATACCAATTTCTGGAAAAATAAATTATAAATCTGAAAACAATGCAATATTCGCTAACAAGTATCAAGTATCAAATTTAAGCACAGTCTTTTTATTATCCTTTTTATCACGTTATTTACATAAAGATATTCTGAATTCGATACAGCGCATTAAAATTTGATTACTAACACATTTGATCAATAAAAAAGTTTTATCTCTGTATAAATATTAAAAATTTTAGAGCTAGCAATAAAATCTTATCAAGTATGAAACATAATTACCTGATACATAATAGCAAAGCAAAGTCCCGCTGAAATACCAGAGAAAATTCCAATAACTGTCATTGCTAACCGTATTTTCATGCTACACGAGATAGCCATAATGACAAAATTGTCAACTAAATAACTGATTAAATAATGAGTAATTTTTATGCTTTACTTTTTAATATAAAAAATAATAAAAGTAGAAATTATAATCACGTAAACAGCACGTAAACGATAATCAGTAAAAAAAAAGTATGAAAAGATAGCGTTTTTTGAACAAAATTTAAGACAAGCATAAAGCATATGCAAACAAACTGATGAAGTTTGCTTGAAATATGTAAATATACAACAGATGCTGCTCTTATACACAAATTTATAAGAAAGCAAAAAAATAAGAATCTTAATTTTTTTAATACAAAGTGAAAATGGATTGTTTAGTTTGGTTATAATTATTCATTCTTCAATAACCGTCAAAGAAACAACAAATATCACAACGTGAAAAAGTCAAACTAACATATTAACGTGTAGAATGTTACGCTTTAATAATATATTAAATGAAAATTTTGCAGTAAATTCTAGAATAAATACTAACTGTATGATAATTAAGGCAAATAATAATTATTGTGAATCAAATGATAAAAAGATATATACGATCACGTGTTTTTTTTTCTAACAAAATAAGCAATTTTTTATTACGATATTTTTATTTGAATAAAAGACAACATATCAGCTGTTGAAAGAGCAGAAATGCATAAGGTCACGTATAACAAAGTAATAAGAGCTGAAGGAATCTGTATGAGAAACAGGACATTATTGAATACCTCAACTAGTTATTCGTTCTAGTTCTAATTAGAGCCATTTTTGAATGCTAAAAACTATGCTACTTTGATAGTCAAATTATTAACATGAAACGCTCACGTACACAGTGCACCACATTCGAAGATAGACCATACAAAACGCATCTATCATCGTAGCATAGACGGTATAGGAAGTAAGCAGTCAAATGAGGTATACCTATTTTCTTATAATGGGTAGTAATGGGATTAAGAGAGGTGGTGACCAAAGTTGGTGTTAGGTATTTTCTTGTGCTGTCGAACTGTAATTAAGTTATCTAATTAGTATTTTTGTTCACTCACTTAAGTATACATTTATGGTAGTTGTAGATTAAGCTGTTGTACTCATCATAAGCTTTAGCAAAAATTTGTGGACTCACGTGTATTGCACTGATTTTAATGCTGAATTTTGATTATATTGAGAGTTTCTATTTTAGAATTGTTCTTCAAGCTGACGATTTTATCTAATGTTTGCCGCGTGGTCAAAAATCGTAGCAGATCTTTAGTTTCTATCAAGGGGTCGATTTTCAGGCCTGTTTGGCAAATACAGTTTATCAATAGTTGGAAAATTTACAGTATCGAGATGACTGGAGATGAGATGAAAACGACTGCTAAACCAATTGCTCCGGAAATATCTGTTAGGTTTTTATAAGCTACCTCTGGATTATATTCATTTTCTTCGCGTTGAATGATTATTAAAATATGTAAGGTCATTAGAAGATATTTTAATTTTCGATTCTAAAAATCACTCTTCAATGATTAGGGAAAACTATTAAAATTAAATAGTAGTACATACTTATCTCACAAAGACTGGCGTAACTTAAATGCAGAAAACAACCAAGTCTCCTATTGAAATGGGTTCATGGCCTGATTTTATCGAGCAACGCATTGCTCTCTTTGATAAGCTTATGGCTCGGTACAAAAGTGAAATTGCCGCAAAGGTTTTTTTTTCTTCTGTATTATATTTACCTGGTAACAGGCTCAAGCATGGTTTATTGCCATTGTTTTATATTTTCATTATTTACTTCAGTCATCAGAAAGTAGCTGGATTTTGTGGTTTACAAATTTTAGAAGCCTGAAAAAATTAGAATCACTCTACCAAACGGAAAGCAGTTTGAAGGAGAATCATGGCGTACAACTCCCCTTATGGTCGCTGAACAAATCAGTCGAGGGTTGGCTGATGCTGCTGTTGTAGCAAAAGTGAATGAAGAGGTCGAGTTTTTCGAATGCTATAACTTCGAAACAGCTCTTATCAGAATTATTCTGAAAATCAGATACAAACTGAACATAAAAACAATTAATGACATGTTATTATCTTTTAAATCCACTTAAATAAAATCTTAAAGTATTAAAAAATAACTCTTTGAAAATATTCTGAATTCCATAAAAAGTAATGCTGGTACTTGTTTTATGCTTTTACTTTACATATTCTTTAGTAATTCATTAGATTAAGATTTTCAAATTCTGAATAGGCTTATCTAGCAGTTCAAGCATTTTTGATTTCATGCATAGATAAGATATAGAATTACGTAAAATAGCTTGTTCCATTTCATTTCTTTCCAAAAAAAGTTTAGGCCATTTATTTGGAATTTTTATATTTCGTTCTGTAGGTTTGGGATTTGGACAGACCATTTGAAGGCGATGCTGTCTTGCAAATTCTCAAATTTGATGATGACGAAGGGAAACAGGTTTCTCATATTTTATTTATCGAAAATTAGTAATGTTTAACATTTTTTCATTGAAATTACACTCTTTTCAATGTATAAGACATCTAAAATTATGGAATCTATTTCATTTTATTACTAAGCATCTTGATGTACGAAGAGGTGAGTTTTTATTTAGATGGGAAAATTCTGGAGAGTGATGCACTAGTCCAGGCGCTATTAGAATTGATTATTATTCTTTAATGCTTCTGGTTTCGTGTGCGAAATTATACGAACCGGAAAGGGCCATAATCTATGATTGGTCAAGATCATGTGTTGTTTATTGGTTGAACACAATAGGTCATCAGATAACAAATTCAAATGAATAATATAATCTCCTCGAATTTCTAGGTGTTTTGGCATAGCTCAGCGCATATTATGGGTGAAGCTATAGAACGATTTTGTGGCGGTCATTTATGTTATGGACCACCTATTGCAGAAGGCTTTTTTTATGATATGTGGAAAGAGGTTTGAATCGATAGTTTTCTTGGGCTTTCATTTTTGTGTCAGATGGCAAACACAAGTACTTAGTCTTTATTTTCGTTAGCCTGTGTTTACTTGAATAATATTTAGAGGTAACGAATTGGTGTGTGTACGTAGCATTCTTCTAAATCTCCAAGTTTTAGGGAGATTCAATTACACCGGATGATTTTCCAAAGTTGGAACAAATCATAAAATGTGTCGTTAAGGTTATTCTTTTTAGATCTGATTTATTTAAAGTTTTCATGAAAAACTTATCAGAGTTAGGTTTTTAAGAAATATCAGGATTTTAAAAATGAATTAAAATTATATATATATATATATATTTGTGGTTCCTCGCCCGGTTTTTAATACGATCTCAGTTTAGGATAAGCAGCCATTTGAACGATTAGTTGTATCGAAAGAAGACCTGTTGGAAATGTTTAAATACAACAAATTCAAGGTTTCTGATTATTATTCTTGGCAAATATAGAGCAGTTATATGTTGCTGCGCTGTTGTATCGTTTTGTTTCGAAACAAAAATAGTTTAGGTTCGGATAATAAATGAAAAAATCGATGCGCCATTTACCACAGTATATCGTTGTGGACCCTTGATTGATTTGTGTCGAGGACCACACGTTCTTCACACTGGCAAAATAAAGGTTATTTAATATGTATTTTAAAAAATAGACTCTCTAATGTAGTAAATTAAACAAATAGCAACTTAAATTTTAACTTTTACCATGTTTGTAAGAGTTGTACTTCCTTTATGCATTTGAATCTTTTATTGAAACCTGGCTATATTTTTTATTACTTGAGTCTGTTGTCAACATTTAGTGTGTGTTTCATTGAATGACTTCTTGCTGCACATGAAATTATATAATAATGATGTTTCAATATTATTTTAGGCTTTATCAGTGACTAAAACTTCAAGTTCATACTGGCAAGGGCGATCAGATGCAGAATCTCTAATTCGTCTTTATGGAATATCATTTCCTGACTCAAAACAACTAAAGGAGTGGAAAAAATTGCAAGTCTGTTGTGAAATAATTCAGCTACAAATCATTTAAAGTTTTGAGAATATTAGCCAGTGATAAACTTTTGAAGGCGTATCTGACTTTTCTCTAATCATTAATCACTGAAAATCTGATACATGTATGCACATGTTTTCGCGTTATCTTGAAAAAGTTGAGACAAACGTTCAGAAATGTGCAATAGTATCATTCATTGAATAAATGAAGTTTTTATTCCCAGCTAGTTGCTCTGGCTTTAAAGAAGTCAAGCTGAGGGCTAAAGCTTGGGTACAGTTTTTTTTTCATTGAATGTACTCTAAGTTGAGTATAATTACTTGTTCACCAATTTGTTAAGGAAGAAGCAGCCAAGCGAGATCATAGAAAAATCGGACGCGATCAGGAACTTTATTTCTTTCATCCTCTCAGCCCTGGATCAGCTTTCTGGTATCCAAAAGGAGCGCATATTTATAATACTTTATGTAATTTTATTCGAAAGCAATATCGTAAACGAGGATTTACTGAGGTTTTGTTACTTGTAATATTGTCATATCATAGGTCATAGCTTTTAGTGATCGCCTTTTATGGTCACATGATTTTTCTGAAAGCATGCCATACAGTTGGTGAAAAGTGTTCAAAATTGTCCACGTTATTTCATGCAAAGAAGTGATATTGATTCAAAATCTTTGAGTGCACAACTAATTTCTTAATGTTTAGGTTATTTCACCTAACATATATAATAGCAGATTGTGGGAACAATCAGGACATTGGGAGCATTATTCAGATAATATGTTCAAGTAATGTTTATCAAAATTCAGTCACATGTTTTGAAAAAGTTCTATTTCGTTCATGTTTCGAAGAGAATTCTTTTTTCCTGCTTTGGTGAATGTTAACCTTATATTTCAGAATAGATATTGAAAAAGAAACATTTGGGCTGAAACCAATGAATTGTCCAGGACACTGTTTGATGTTCTCTCAAATGCCACGTACTCACAATGAGTTACCGCTTCGATATGCTGATTTTGGTGTTTTGCATCGGTAAATGTGTTACGTGATGTCTTAAGAAAAGACATTAAGATCTTAACTGTTGACTGCTGTTCCTTGATATATTTCAATAGTTTTGTGAATGGTTTGAGTACTTAAAGGGTGTTTTTATTTTGAAAATGAAATGGATCTTCTGTCGTTGTTTTCATATCTTTACTGTTTGAGGAATGAATTAAGTGGTGCTTTGTCCGGTCTTACCCGAGTGCGGCGTTTCCAGCAAGATGACGCTCACATTTTTTGTCGCCAAGATCAGATTCTTGATGAAATAAAAGTTTTTTTTTTTTTTTTTTTT